TGTCCCCAAAGGCGGTTTTTAGAGGGTATCACTTAAGGTCCCCGGTAGGACAGTGAGCCCCTCATAACCACGATAGACCGGCTATCGTGGTATGCGTAATGCATTTTCCGCCTCCCTACGTATAGGGTAGCCCTTTAATTGCTTCGGGCGCAAAAAAAAAAAAAAAAATGCATCGTTTAGGCATAAAGAGTTGGTGCTAGAGATGAGTATTTTTTTCGCAACCTGTTACAACAACGTCTTGCCTCGAAAATAATAATATAAGTAACATGTTATGACAATTGACACATAAGGTTGTTTCAGTAACTTCTAAGAACAATAATTGATTGTACGATAACGTACAAATAAATGTGTGGTTAAAGATATTTATTCTCAAAAGAATAATTTTTAGATTAACATAAATATTTAAATAATTTTTAAATTTCATTTAATGAGTAGTCACCTGATGGTAAGTGACTACCGTCGCCCGTAAACAACTGCAACACCAGGGGTATAATAGATGCGTTGCCGGCTTTTTAAAAAAGAGTAGGTAGTTCTTGAAGGTCCCTAAGTCGTATCGGTCCGTAAAAATCTCTGGTGGTAGTTGATTCCACAAGGAAGTGGTGTGAGGAAAGAAAGGACCGTCAGTCGTCCAGATGGTATGGGTGGTATCGCGAGTTTTGTGGGTGGTGAAATTGTCCGGCTGGAATTACTCTGAACAATAGTTACAACATTCAAGTTATAATATGCTCATATTGCAAAAAACACACTAAAAAGGAAGGAAAGAGTTTCGTGACGTACAACTTCTTGCTATTTTATGCACATAACTCAATATTTCTCGTTTTATCTTTTTGTGTATTAATTAACAAGTTACTAATCATTTAGAATACAAGTTAACAAAGTGGGTAGTAAGCAAAGTATTTCTAATCTACAGATAGTAGGTCGGTAAAGGTCGGATTTAGAATTTATTTATTTTGTTGTGTTGATTAAGTTTACTTTAAAGATGTCTAAACTATTTAATATTTTGGTTTCTTATATATTTTAACTAATAATTTATTACATATTTTAACTCCATTAAAAACTAATGAAAGAAATGATACATATAATATCACGAAATATTAGTTTAATAAAGGATTCAATCGTTTTTGGGCCCACTAGAAATAAATATTAATATAATTTAATGGTTTTAACACCCAATAAAATATGCCAATTTACTTTAGTAAATTCGCTTAAGATTTTATGAAAATCTAACTGGAATCATTATAAATAATACAATAAAGAATCAATACGTTTAAATCACCGCCGTATGTTTATTCGTAAAATGTTATCTGCTAAATTACTAAAAAAAATTTTAGTAGTTCCGGAGAATCCACTAAGTAGTATTTAAAATTTTTAAGAACCTACAACTTTTTTGTACATTTTATTATTAACATTAATTTATAACATCGAGTATCGATAAAAATTACTAGATAGTCGCACGTATATGATTTTAGGTTAAAGTGAGATTACCGTTTGATTGTCAATTTCTCAGTTTTCCAACCAGTGTTCTTAAGAATATTAAAATCAGCATTTAACCATTATCATGTCTAACAAGATGAGAATAAAAAAAAGAAATAATTGATGAGTCCAGACTAGAGATAAGATATGTAAAGGCTCTAACTACCACATCAGAGGTACTCTAAAAAAAACACGCAAAAGGGGCAGCGCTATTGACATTATCTTGCCTAAAACTTTCTCAGAAATGAGAGGAGGTCTGTACCCCGGTGTGGGACGTGTATAGGTTGTAGCTTTAACTTTAAATATAGTTTATTATTAATACAATATTAATAGGGATAAATTATTAACAGGGATAAACTATCCAGATCTTGTTGTAGCTCAGCTACTTTTACGTCGTTATTTGTTTGTAAAATTTTATCTATTTCTATTCCTCGGCATATCCTAACTGAGTAACCTATAGTAGCATATATATTGAAGGACTGCCAACCGATGGGAAAAAAGGTTCTCGAGTAGCAGCCTCGTTCTGTCGTAGGGCGGACCTTCACTAGATGGAGTGACGACCTGGTAAGACAAGCGGGAAGTTCATCAGATGCAGGTGGTGCTTGGGGGAGGCTTATGTTCATCATTGGACTTGTGAAGGGCTGTAATGAATGAATTCCTGGGCATATCATGAAATATGAGTATATAAAACAGTTCATAGTATCATTAACATATATAATAAACAATAATGGCCAAATAATGGAGCCTTGAGCCATATCTGAGGTTACATTTACGGTTTTTCAAAATTGTCCGTGTACAGCCCTTTGAGGTCTCTTTAAAATTTAAGCTGCAAACCATTTTCTCTAATTCCATTAAATTAAATTTTCCTGAGTAATAAATTGTGGTATGCTTAGTCTAAAGCCTTGAATAAGTCTGTGTGCACTTTATGTGCCAGTGTCCTATTATTTAAATTTTTAAATACAAAGTTAGTGTTAATATCTAAATTATATAACGTGGAGCGTTTTAATTTAATTCGTTAATTGTATATTTAATCTCAGATGTTTATATGTTCCAATAGTATCAAAATCCTGAATTTTCTTTGTAAAATTTATGGATAATAGCGTCATTCTTTAGGGATAAATACTCGTATATATTCTAAGGCACTATTGCAAATTTGCAAAAGGCAATATTGAATATAAATACATCTTTCTGATCCCGAATATTAAAAATTGAAAAAGATCTAGTATTAACATTTACCAACAGGACAACGCCAATGCTCACTTTTTAATTATTTGAATTAAAATCGCTCAAATGCTTTGATAGTAATTTCAGTAGTCATTTTAGCTAGGTTCAGGTAGCTTAAAAATAGATTTAGATTTAATTTTTGATTTAAGTTATTATCTTTATATTTATTTTTAATATAACTTGTTGCATTCCAAACATTGGTTCTTAAAATTTCTTTTAATATTATATTAATACTATTAATTAATAATTTATTTTAAATCACTATTATACGTATTTAAATAAATACGTTGTTTTATCTTTTTTATTTTTATCACTAACCGACATAATAACAAAACTAAATACACTATCGATAACGGTTATCGACAACAATAATGCGCATCACTATGCTCGCCTCTAAGGGCCGTGAGTATGAGAGAGAGCGAAATACACGGACAAAATAATTCTAGTATAGCAACTTAGTTGCTCCCTAATATATATATAGTAATCTATGGCTGCTCCTTAAAAACGTAGTAGACGCAGGTAACCACGGTTGAAATACGGATTAAAGAGATTTTAAATACAAATATTCCTACTAAATATGTATCAGATGCCGGTATTTCCTGTGCAATGATAAAAAACAATCCTTAGATCGTGGTACCTCAAAAGTAGCTGCTTCTCATTTGGACAAATCTCCGTGAAGCTGTGTTTTATGTTCTTTAGCATTACAAAACAAAATTTTCTAACCTGTTTATATTTTGTAGAGTTCCGAATTTAAGAGTTTCAACCGGAACTCTTGTGACGAATTTGTCCATCTGTTAGGCTTAGGTTGCTTAATATGAGCCACTGCTATTTTTTTTTTCGGTGGCATAATAGTAGAATTTATTTTGTTGCTATTGAGTTACTTTTAGTTAACAAAATATCTTAAAACTGACTTGCTTTAAAGATTCAAAATACTAATATTATGTTTCTTAAATATTTTTATCGCATTACCATCGGACCTAAAATGTCTAAATAGTTTTTTTAACCCATATATCTTTCTATTTTCGTATTTTCTTAGTGCATATCGTCACTGGAAAGGAGAAAATGCTAAAGCGCCATTTGGGCCAAAATGAGTTAATTATATTGTTGGATTGCTTTTTTTTTCCGCGTCGATCTGTGTAGGTTTCAAGTGAATCAGAGCAAGTTTTTGGCGTTTTAGCATTTGTAAAAATTGAGGGATGTTCCGAATTCCAAGATCTAAAGCGACGATTTTCCCTTGTTTTTGAAATAGACGTAGCTTTAGAAACACATTTTCAGTAAAGAGATCCGTTAGAACGTTATTCCTTACTACATTCTCTTCACAATAGCAACATAAGTAATTTTTCTTTTCTTAATTTGAATGACATTGTTACATTAGCAATATTAAATTTTAGAATTGTATTATTTCATATTCTGTTAGCTATTATTCATTACTGTTGTTTTTAACTGTTTGGTGTTTAAGAAAAACTGTTAGCATAAGATTTAAGTATGGTTGGCGCTGTAGCAATTTTTGCTAAATATATTTTTTTAAATTTCATTATGTTAGAGAAAATAAAGTTGTGACAATTAAGTAATAACATTTCTATTTGAATAAGGAAGGCATTTCCCTAAAGGTATGAATCGTTTTAGCGATATGCTATGTTTTAAACTGATGACCACTGTAGTACGTTAGTATTATTATCTATTGGAGACTGTAGTGTAAATATCGGTTAGGCACATAATATTTATAATATGCGTGTGATTGTAAGCACACTTAGCGCACTCGCGTCCTGTTGGAACACATCGTTTCTCGATTCGCGCGCGCCCGCTGGTTGTAGGTAATCACCTAACTTCAGTAGTATTAGTTAGTCTACGCTAGTGACGGTGTTCGCAAAGAAATTTATAGGTACTGTTTATGTTTATTGTGACGTGTAAGTAAGTGCGTTAAGTGTTATTGTTGGGATATTGATTTTGGAATATAAAAAGGTATGTTTATACTTTTTTTTTGTATTATTGTAGTGTTAAGCAAAAGTATTGTACAGTTAAGATTGTTTGGTTATGTTTGGTTAGTGATGAGTAGTTTTGAAATAATTGGTGACTAAGTTATAGATTAACCAAAATATTTAATTGAGACTGTTCACATGAATAAGGTATAACAAGAATAAGGAACAGGAACAGTAGAAAACGAGGACAACCAGACAATACTGATTTTGTAACAAAGCTACTGCGAGCAAATACAGCGGATTATAAAGCTATACAGGGTAATACTTCATGTCTGTCTCAGCAGAAAACACCTCGACTCATAAACTCATATTGTTGACAAGGAAATGCCTGGAAATAGTAAAGGAAAACTTGAAAGGAGGAAGGTCAAACCTGGATTTATAGAAGAGAAACCTGAAAAAAATAAAAGATTAAATTTCAAACATGTTGACTTCATTTCTGACGAAGAAGAATTTACACTGACTTCTTCTTCATGGGAAGGATCAGACGATACGGAGTCAGATATATCCAATAATGATAGAAGAGAGAAAAAACAGAAGAAAAATAAAAACAGTAAAAGACAAGGCAAGGAGTCAAAAAAACGTAGCAGAAAAATAAACAAGAAGAAAACTGACCACTTAGCTTCGAACAAAGATGAATCTGACTCAGAGCAACAGAAAAGGACTGAAGAAAACAATAGAGAAAATGAATCTTATGCAGATTTTAGAAAAAGAACCAAACGAATTAATAAAGATAAAGAAAGATCAAATTTAAGGAAAGCTGGAAGAGTATGTCTCAAAAACTGGAAGAGTAGTTGAGGCAAAATCTAAGTAATATGTATGTATAATAAGTAAACTGTATTAATAAATGTTACGATATATCTAAAAAAAAGTATTTTTGATCATTATTGGTCATTAAGTGCGGAAAGAAAGCATGACTGGATTGTAAGTCATGCTAAAAAAGAAATTATGAAACGAAGAAGAACAAAAGATATAGAGAGCCGAAGGCAATTTACATATACATATTTCATTAACCAAGGAGAAGGCCAAAGACCTGTTTGTTTGAGATTCCTTATAAATACCTTAAATATTGGTCAAAGATTTCTACATCAAGTTATCAGTTCTTCAGTTGAAGGGTGTTCTAAAACAGACAACAGAGGCAGAGGAGTTCCTGCAAACAAAACGCCCCCGGCCTTGTTGCAATCCGTGAGAGACTATATTAATGGTTTACCAGCAGTTCCCTCACACTACTGCAGGAAAAACTCAAAAAAATGTTATTTGCCGCAAGAATATAGAAGCCTTTCCAATTTATACAAAATTTATAAACAAAAGAACATGAATGAAGGGGAGAATTTTGTAGGCGAAAAAGTTTTTAAAAACATATTTTAGACAGAATTTAACATTTCTTTCCATGTACCCCGAAAAGACAAATGTGTAAAATGTACTAAATACGAAAATAGCCCCGGAGAATATCAGGAAGAAAAAGAGAAACATATGTCAGATAAAGAAGAAACATATTCGAGATTTCAAACACATCAAGACCTTCGCAAACACGATAGTAGTATACCCTGTACTACGTTCGATCTCCAAAAGGTGCTGAATACTCCATATGGAGACAGCATGTTATTTATTACAGCAGAAAGATCGCTACATATAATTTGACATTTTACGAGTCCGTCACACGAGAAGGGTTCTGTTTCTTGTGGAATGAAGTCGAAGGCAAACGTGGTGCGAATGAAATTTGTACCATTCTAGTTAAATACATTGAAAAGGTGGACGAACGTGGGTCTATAAAACATTTACTTTTATATTGCGATTTCCGCCCAGGGCAAAATAAAAATAAAATTGTTCTGGCCTGCATCCATAAATCTTTGCAAAAATGCAAGAATATATCAACCATTCAAATGAATTACCTTCTACAGGGACACACATTGCCTGTGGATTCCATGCACTCGATCATTGAGAAAAGTGTGACAAACAACATTGTATGGGCACCGTCTCAGTGGCCAACCATATGGGCTCTAGCAAGAAAAGTTCCTAAACCATACGAAGTTGAAGTTCTATCTCACTCAATCAGATTTTGAGGTCTGGGATAATATTTTAAACAGATACTTCAAAAGCAATCTTGCAGGTAAAATAAGCAGGATTCGCACTGCTACATTCAAGAAAGCTAATCCGCACCATATCGAAGTCAAATATTCCATGAAAGTTGAAACTGAATCTGAAAAGATCGAGGTTATAGGCAAAGGTGAATTAATTCCAAAGTTAATTTACAAATCGAAATTGCTTATTTCAAAGAAAAAATATTCCGATTTGGAAAAATTATGTAACAATAAAACTATACCAGCAATGTATGTCGCAGAATATAAGTCTTTACCTCATGCAGTAAAGTCAAGATTTTTTGGCAGATACAGACATTGAAGACATTCAAGACTGATAGATTTAAGGTTAATCTTTAAAACGCTGATCTCAAAAGTACCAAATTAGATTTACTTATTGTTATTTTGTTTATATTTCTTTTTGTTCTAAGATTTATAAATACGTTAGGTCAAACGTCAGACTTACCCTTGTGATTCAGGATGATAAAAACTTATTGGAATATGTCAGGAATTGATAATACTGAAGTTTTATTTTTACGTTCGTTTTGTTGATTACTTAACATTTAAGTATGTTTAAAATTAAGTTTTTTTGTTGGTTATGGATCTACTTGATGTTTTTCAAAAATTATGGTAAGACTACTTATTAGCAAGTCACAACAATGTTTGGAAAAATATTAAAAATAAATAAATAAAACTGTTTGATTTTTAAATGCAATGGTTTTATTTCTAATGCAAATTCCGACAACCGATTTGGTACATTCTAAGAGATTTTCAGTTTAGTCCATTCAAGACATTGAGTTAGATTTTATATTGACAAATTCTTACCGCACATCAATTACTTAGTATCTACATAATTTAGTAAAATTTTCACATAGTGAGCCTATTAAGCAATTATTTCGAACAAATTCTTAAAACCCATCCGTAGATAAGTAGTATAATCTAGTAAAGTAACGGTCAATAATTTACCTTTAGTCATTTTTGCTTGCATTTATTCGGTTAAGTTAGCGCACGTAATCAATTTTGGTTGCATAGCCTCTGTACTGTATCGCTTGTTTAGCATTTCTTCTTGACGGCATGTTACCATCATAAGCAATCGTTAGCAATTTTTCTTTACTAGATCTATACGGTCTTAGTTACTTAAGCATTTTTCGTTTCCAAGAGAAGTGGCTTTTACCATTTATAAGCATTTTTCGAATAATTCGATTCATACTTTTGAGGTAGATTAGCAGTTTTTCCCTGACTAATATTTTCCTATTACTCAACGCACTTTTGCTAAAGCGACTACTATTTCGAGTAATAGAGATAAATATCATAAACACTTTGTACGTGCTGGTACAATATAATTTTAGTAATGTTATATTTTTAGATTAATAAGATAGGATAATAACTAAAAAAGATATGAATTAAAATAAAAAATAAAAAACTTTAAACCTCATTTTCCAAAAGTACCATTTTGGCGCTTTAGCATTTTCTCCTTTCCAGTGACGATATATATGTTACTAAGTTTATTGAATATTATGATAATGTCCTCCAGACCGAATTTCATACAAAAATTATACGAAATTCCGTTCAAAAAGGTAAAAAATTAAACTTTTACTAGAGAGTTATCATCATCATCACCATTACGGTCTGCAAAGTCCTCTCAACATGATCTTCCGATAGTTTGTCCCATAAGGAGGATATTTGCCATAGTTGCCACGCGCTTTAGAGGCGTGTTGGTAACGGCAGGTTTTTTATTTTCTATTTGTTATCGGAAAGACGCTGCCATCTATGTCCTGTTTCGATTCCCTTTGTCTCATCCTATGGCAACCACAGGACGATACAGAGTAATGAATATTCTTACACCGCCACTGCCCGAACATTAATAAAAAGTAAAAACCTTTAATTCTTTGAAACATGTTGGTCGCTTGAAAGTTTTGAGAATCCTCTTTGAATATTCCAAGTTTAAAACATTAAAAATCCGACTGCGTGAAAAAATTAGCAACAATACCCATTATCAGATTATATAAGAACTTTATTACAGCTTTTATATAAGTATTGAAAATTTTAGCTAGAATGATCGCTAACCAACTTTCAATCGTTATAGATCCTAAATAGTAATTAAAAATGAAAAATCACAGGAGAAACATAAATATTATTGTCAAAGAGCTAATCAATGATACTCCACTTGGTATCGTTTGTCAACTGTTATTTTTTTAACCAATATGCCTTCTGGTTGTCGTCATATTGAATTTTGATTTTCATATCTTTATTAATACTAAAAAGATTAGATTGACGTAAAAATCATCAAAATTGACCCGACTTTTTGGTTTCTAGAGCGTCACAAAGGATACATATATAAATAAAACGCATACATAACACACGTGTTTTCATACACAAGATTATTTTGCAATAACCGGCCAAATTTGCAGAGAAGGTTCAGAATAAGTAATATAGGCAAATGGTGAAGAAAAATTAATTAATAAAAATCCCAAACATTATGTCCTTTTTATTTTTGAATTCAAAATTGCGTGTTAATGCATTATTTTAACTGATTTTACTGCGCCCGCACACATTCGTAAGGGTCGATTGGCGGGTAAAACCGTTGTTGCCCATAAATCACATCCAATTTGGGATAAATTTAAATAAAAGTTACGGTCTTATTTATTCGTATTTTCAAAAACTGCAATTAAGGTATATCATTATTTATATATTTGAAGTTAAGTTTAAAATTTGGCTACACTTTGAAAATTAAACCTGTATATTATAGGCTGAGATAAACACATTACCCTCCACAGTCGGATTAAAAGATTGTTCAAGAAGATAAAATATTCAATGAAAATAAATATCGTAACATAAGTGACTTTTATATCGTAATAATGCCGTAAAATAATTTTAAGAACTCTGCAATAACTTGTTTTGACTTTTGCTGCGTCCACGAGTAATTCTTATTCATTGTGTGAGCGATTTCGTTTGCCGTTTCTTCTCCAATTTCAGCATGTTCGTTCTCCAGTGTTTCTTCAATTTCTTCCAACGTTGAGTCCGTAATACTATATTCGTGTTTTTGTCTCCCAGCTTTGTCGTTATTAATACGATGGCTTACAGCTTCGTTCAAGTCTTTTGCCACATTTTCCAGAATCCCTTTGAGAGATTTTTTCAGTTTTTCAAATTTGTTGTTTTCTTCGATTATGTTTTTAAAACTATCGACAATTGATATGAGATTATAGTTAAATTCGCTTGTAGCTTTGTGATCGGTGCCATCTTTATATTGCTCTTGTCCGAGTGGTTTTGCACAAGCTATAACGATTGTGAGCATAGTTAACACTAGTAAAAGCAAGTGACCTGAAAAACATATATCATTATTCAATTTTTTTATAGATCAAGGGTGACAAGCGAGGAACAGTCCACCTGTTAATTAGTGACACCCCTGAGGACCAAGATGTAATGCCTCGTTGCAAGTAAAAAGGGTATCCGGTTCTCTACACTCATCATACGAAACACAACAGCATTGAACTGTAATTTTACGTTGGAATTTTGTGAAGGCTTGGTCCTTCACCTGTCGAGTCGACCCATTCGTGCTACAACCATAATATAGCTGCAACTTGGCTTTATTACTTAATAATGTATTTATTCATCCATTCAGTACAGCCTGTTAAAAGTCCGCTTATATAGGCCTCCTCTATAGATTTTTTTATATGCTGTGAATATTTGCCAGGGTTGCCACGCTTGAAAATGTTGGCAACCGTAGTTTTTATTATTTTAAAATGTTACCAGGAATAGGAAGATACTGCTTCCCATCTTCTGTTTCTGCCACTTACGACTTTTGAACCCAAGTGATGACATCGGGTAGTAGATACCTTTAGACCAAATTTGCGTCACGGTCGCCAGTCTTAATGGAGTCTCGCTGTGCAGTACAGCCTTGTAGTGCACGAGTGTGTGCACAAGCACAGGTGCACTCTCTATCCTCTCAACCTCATTGTCAGAGGGGACAGCAACCTGACACAATCGGATAGGTCAGGTGCAGGACCCTCGGCTTTACATGCTTTCAGAGGCACAAGGGTGAGACATCGACAATTTCCTCACTCCTGGCTGCTACTGAGAGTTTTTTGGCAGAAAGAACCAATAACTGATTTAGACCCGTACCCAGGATTCGAACCCAGTACCAAATGATCAGAGACGCGCTTACGACCACTATGATGCAGTCAAATATCATAGGACCTAGGAAGTACTACAGTGTAAGTGGATGGGAAAGAGAAATATTAAGTCATGTATTTGGGGCATCGAATCTTAGCTACCACACGCTAATACGGACACGTACAAGTGACCATTACAACGAACAATTTCGTTAAGGAAACCAGGGATCGAACCCAGTTTGCTTTCATAATACACCATCAATAGTACAACGCGAGTCCTAACTTTAGACCATTGGATGCAACTAAGAATATGCCTTTGCTTTGGATAAAGGGACACAGTGGATCCAGAGGCAACGATGCAGCGGACGAACTGGCCAGAAGAGGATCGGCTCTGGCCACTATAGGGCCGGAACCAATCATACCAATCCCCTTTGATAACGTTCGTTCAATGGTACGTAGACACTTCACTAATCAACACGCTCAGCTTTGGAAAAATCTAATAGACTGTAGACAAGCTAGGGAGGCCCTACCTGTAATAAACAGTCGCTTAACCAAAGTTCTAATGAGACTGAACAAGCCGCAGATCAGGATAGTAACTAGTGCTATCACAGGACATGGCACCTTTAACAAACATTTATTTACTATAGGTGTTACAGATAGTCCCCTGTGCAGGGCATGTATGGGGGAGGAAGAAACGGCGGCCCACGTGCTACTGAAATGTCCGGAGGTCGCTACGTACAGGGCTAAACATCTCGGCACGCCGGGATCACTCCCCCGAAGTTGCATGCAACATCAAGGGACTGTTGAGCTTCTTCGGGGAGATCTCATGGCTCGAATAATCACATTATTCCTGCCCACACGCAAAATACGCGCAGAGACGTGGAGTTGCGGAAAACAGCCCGTTGCAAACTAAACTAACTAAACTATGCCTTTGCTTATTAAAAAAATATTTTATTGTACTTACTCATTGGCGCAAACGACGTACAAGAGAAAGGCGATAACAGCGTATTACGAATATTGTTCATAACGATATTTGTATACTTGGTTGAAGTTATGCAATAAGGGACAATTATTGTTTTTTTTAATTATAGGCAAAGGAGCAAAGGCAGCAGGGCTGGACGTTCCCCTAAATTTAACGAGTAATCCAAGGCCAATTCCCGCTAACAGCTATGGCATGGTTTTAGTCAGTGGAGGAAAGTCAGCTAAATAAATGGGAAATTCATCTAGCTGTTCGGCTTTTAAATATTAACAGGTATTATTATTCCTGCTAGAGAGACAGCTCAACAGGGAAACGCCGTGAAGTCAAAGCAGATAATTGATGGTTTATTTCGTCAGGATAAAGAGGATAGCTGACGTGTGTGAAATTTCTCGGATATTTTTTCTTTTTTTTAATGGGATAGGTGACAAACGAGCACACAGTCCACCCGATGGTAAGTGGTTGCTGTGGCCCATAGACATTTACATCTACATCTATCCTCGATTACGAATCAAAATGCAGATGCGTTGTCACCCGTGAGGACTAACATGGAATGCCTTGTTTCTAGTAAATAGTGTCTCCGGTTCTCCACACTCACCATACGCAGCTTAACGCTGCTATTTTACGCTAGCATTCCGTGAGAGCGTGGTCCTTCCCCGGTCGAGCCGACCCATTCGTGCTACAGCTGTACTACTAATATAGCTAAAGCATGGCTCTAACACGTAAAAGTTTTTCATGTCAGTAAGACATGCATATCCGTTTAAAAAAAATGTCAGCCTGTCTGACTATCTGTCTGTAGAGTTAATCTTCGTAATGGATAAACCGCTTTTAATAAAACTAACAGATAGAAAGCAATGTCAGGATTGGACTAGACAATATTTTATTAAAAAATCTTTTTGGAAAAAACGAAAAATTGATGAAAGAAATGATCTTTCTTTATCTAAAATATAAATAACATACGAAGGATTTTCATTGATCGGAACGCTGGGAGACGAATTGACCCTATATTTTTTTATAGAACATGGTTGACAAACAAGCACACAGTTTCCCTGATGGTAAGTGGATGCTGTGGCTCATAGACATCTACAAATATCTTCAATTAAAAATCAAAATGAAGATGCGTTGTCACCCCTGAGGACTAAGATGGAACGTTTCCAATAAAAAGGTTCTCAGGTTCTCTACACTCACCATACGAAACACAGCAGCATTAAGCTGGTATTTTACGCTGGTATTCTGTGAGAGCGAGGTCCTGCCCTAGTCAAGCAGAGCCATTTGTGCTATAAGTACTACTTGCGAGGTCTACCACGTATAAAAATCTCTATATCTGAAGTGACTGAGGAAGTTACAGTCCACCTGATGGTAAGTAGCTACTGCAGTCCATGGTCACCTGCATCCACCTGCGTTGTTTCCTCTAAGAACTAATACGGAATGCCTCACGCCTTGTAACTATACTGGTTCTATACACATATACTCTTCAGTTTGGAATACAGCAAGGCACAAGCACTGTTATACTCGTATGTCTTATTGGACAGAGATAGATAAGAGGGTAGTGTCTACGATGACGGAGTCCTAGGCAAACTCACACTGGAGTAATGCATCGTATTCCTTACTACTCGATAACTTTAGAAATAACTGAAATTATGTCATTTATACAGGATGTTTTTTTTTACAGTCTGGAAAAAATATGTTGTAACAGGTGAACATAATAGAATTAATACAATATTTTTTTTATGTTACATTAATACGAAGGTTATACGTTCAGTATTTCATCAGTTCAGTTCGTCAGTCTGATCCCACTTTGACCGAAAAATGATAGTCGTTGATTACACGATCAGTCTCGCATCAGTATTTCATTATTCACAATGGACTGACGAAAATTATCTAAAATATTTAATTTTTACCAGTCCTGACCATCAGTCCGTGAGTCCGTGGGTTAGAAGATAATTGTGCGGTCATTCTGACCAGCCTGACGGACTGAACTCATGAAATACTGAACGTGTAGCCGCCGTATAACATAATATGAAAGTGATCTATAAATAAATACTACTAATTTGATATAAACTTTAGGTACTAAAAAAATAACAACAAAACTTTTGAACTAAATAAATAAATCAATTAGAAACTATCGAAATTAAAATAATACATACCCAATTAGCAGGATTTATTGATGGATCAATTTCGTAATATGTTAATGTAAATTAAAAAAGGGAAAATATTAGTGCCATAGGATTCTATTCCTTTCACCTGTTACACAAATTTTTTTCCAGACGGTAAAAAAAATTATCCAGTATAATATTTGCTCTGATTATACTATTTTATAATAATTAAAGTGTCAGGCTAAAGCGACCTATCTACTCACAGGAGCGACTACTTAAATAAAGATTCTCAAGAAACTACCTGAAACTGGCAGTGTGTGTTGAAATAAACAATATTGTGAATTTACAAGTGTTTATAAAATTCACAAAAATAAAATAAGCAATAGGTATTTATTTCCATTAAAAACACTAAAACTATAAACATGAATTCTCATCCAGTACTACTCCCGGTTATAATGATAATAACGCCAGCTACTTCGCCTTGCTGAATCACTATACTTAGCCTTTGAATAAGAATACAAGATATTATCGTCTCAATTAAGAGAATATGTGGGCTGGTTTTTTAACAATCTTTTCTCTCCCACTTTTCTGTGCCCCAACAACTGGGTTAAATAAATCAGAGTCTTATTATACGGTAGCTATTAAAAAATAAAAAGCTTTAGTTGTTTAATTTTTTTAAATATTAAAATATGGCCAAAAATTATGGTAACAACTCAGTGGCAGATAAAGATACAATCTTTAAAAAAAACTTTCGTAAATAATCTCCTGTCGTCATTCTCCAGAAAAAAAACGAGATTGCGTTTATATGACTACTACTAAATGCCATCAGGATATCCTCCTGAAGAAATTTCAGTCATGAACATGAACAATCTAGCCAGAGTATGGAGAAATATTTTCGTAGGTGCAATAATAAATCAGAAAAAACTCGAGATATTTACCTCCTTAGGATTCATCTAAGTACTCAAAACATTAATAATAAAAAAATTAAGTTTCAATGCAACGGTATACGAGTGGTAAAATTCAAAATATTGTACAACTGACTTCCGTCACCAATCAGTGCACCACCAATGTAGTAGAATTCAATTAAATACGCATTATTAAGGATAACTCAAAAACTACTGGTCATGATCTCGATCAAATTGTACATGGGACCATATGAGAAGCACCAGCTTTAAAAAAAAGAATCATCAAAATCTATTCACCTAGAAAAAAATTCTGTGGTAACACATATAAAAAAATACAGTTGAGCTGAGAGCGTCCTCCTTTATTGAAGTCGGTTAAAACCTGGAAAATTAGTTTTATTAAATATACGAAATTGTTAAATATTATCTTATATTTAGAAATCATTAAATATGCGTTCAAAGTTACATAATACTTCATTCTTTCTTATTGCCGTTAGGTGTTATGCCGACCAATTCGTATAATTCTTTCACAATAGACCATTTAACTGAAGTGTGGTTATATTCAAAACCGTCGAGTTGCGAGGAGTGGTTAAGATTCCTTTATAGAAGTTTCATATGATAACAAGAATTATAATATGACGTTTCATACGATAATAATGAAATCAGAAATGAATACATAACATCAGAGGAGCTGTAGTTGCCGATGCGTTGCCGGCCTTTTAATACAGAATAGAAAAGAACCGACCTTCGTCTTGAATCATTTTTTTACGTGGTAGAGTCACGCTGCTGCTATATTATGATTGTAGCACGAATGGGTCGGCTCGTCCGGGGAAGGACCACGCTCTCACAGAATACCAGCGTAAAATAGCAGCTTAATACTGCTGTGTTTCGTACGGTGAAGGTAGAGATCCGGGGACCGTTTTTACTGGAACCGAGGCATTCCATTTTAGTCATCAGGGGTGACAACGCATCTGCGTTTTGAGTCTTAATCGAAGATAAATGTAGATGTCTTTGGGCCACAACATCCACTTACAATCAGGTGGACCGTGTGCTCGTTTGTCATACTTATTATATAGAAGAAAAAATCTATTAAGGAAAACCGCATCAAAATCCGTTGCGTAGTTTAAAAGATCTAAGCGTAGAAACGAGAGAACGGCAGGAAGCGACTTTGTTTTATACTATGTAGAGAATATACAAGTACGTAATTCTTATTGAGTCATTTTTTACTTTTTTTATAGAAGAGGAGGTAAACGAGCATCCGGCTCACCTAATGGTAAAAGCGTCCATGAACAACTGCCACACCAGGGGAACTGCAGGTGCGTTACTGGCCTTTTAGATAGGAGAAAGCTCTTTTCTTGAAGGTCCCTAAGTCGTGTCGGTTCGGAAAGATCGCATTTGGTAAATGATTTCACAGAGGGGTCGTATGAGGAAGAAAACTCCTAGTAAAACGTACAGTGGTGGACCGCCACGCATCTTAATGGTGTGGATGGTATAGTGAGTTATGACGCGATGTGCGTTCGTGAAATTTGGCGGTTGATATTAATCCGAGAAATTTCTCAGAGCAGTACCCGTGGTATATGCGATAAAAGATGCAAGGGGATACAACATCTCTTCGCAGCACCAGTGGATCGAGCCGATCGGGCAGGCCTCGGTCGTGGACGATTCGAACCGCCTTGCGCTGAATGCGGTCAATTGGAAGGAACTGGCACTGGAAAGCCCCGGCCAAGAGATGGGAACAGTATTCCATGTGAGGCCGAACCTGCGTCTTTTAAACTACTAGTACTTTTACCAATAGTTCGAAAAAAAAACAGTGTCCTGGGAAGAACCGGCAAGAAACCCAGCGAGACTTTTTTTCAAAGTATATTTTACAATATATACATAGGTTGTACAAATTACTCACAAAACTTATTTAAAAACTGCTAAGAGGTGGAACCTAATTTCCTGGGTCAATACCTATCATGTTATTCATTTATATTAAATACTTTTTTATAGGC